AACTGCACCTAGGAAGTTATAGTTACAGTTTCAGAGAGGGCTCAAATGATGAATAAGGAGGAGCTCCTCTTTAGAGAGAGGGTGAAAGGGATATGAGGGAGGCGCAGCTTCGGTAAAAGGCATAACTCAAAGGAATGGAGTGATAGAAGAGCATTATGGTATGTTTGAGAAGATGTAAGTGGCTCACTTTGGCATGAGATGAGGCTGGAAAGGCACAGAGGGCCATGATCATCGAGGATCCTGCAGGCTCTGTGAAAGAATCTAAACATTCTTCTACAGAGGAGACTGTGCTTATGAATTCCATGGAGGAGTTTCAGGGGAAGGGGAAGGAGGCAGAGAATCCCTCTGTCCCACCTCAACCAGAAAGGCTCAACTTTTATCTGTTTTAATATTGGGATTCCAACTAAGAGTTCATGCTTGAAAAACTCTGAAACCTACATCTGAAGCTCAGGTCTGCTGCGGATGCTCCTGGGAAAAGGACGTGTGCTTCACCTAATCACACAGAGAATGCTCAGGAATGTGTTGGGATTGCTTGGTACCAAGTGAATAGGCAGGCACATGGCCAGAGCCTCCAGACAGACAGATGGGAGGGGCAGCCAAGAACAAGAGAAGGCACATGGAGGATTCAAATGTATTGATGCTGTGTTCATTCTTAAATTGAATGGGAATATATAAGTATTTGCTTTATCAGACTTAATGCACACATTATATATAGTGGTGTGTATGCAATTTTTCATAACTAAAAAGCACATACACAAGCAGGTATATGTCAATTTCTGTAGCAACAGACACATTTAACTGATTAAATTCCCCCTTAAGTCAAAGGGCTTGGCAGTAATGGTCAAATAACATTCTCGGACATTACTGGTTTGAAAATCTGTTTCAAACTAATGACAGCAAACTGTTCCTTTATATAATTTCTTTTGAACTTGCAAAACCTGACTCCAAACTTGCCCATGACAAAGGTCCTCAAGGAAGCCCCACTAAGCATAAATTCACACAGAGGCCTGAATAGTTTTCAGGGCAAGAGTTTCCAATGGTTTAACTTTAAAATGCCAGTTAATAAAGACATTTGTATATGCATAGAGTGTCTCTGGAAGGATAGAGGAAAGTATAGGAAAAGTGACTTTCTGGAAAGGAGAACTGGGGAATTCAGTCAGATGGAAAGGAGGGTCACAGGTGGGTCACTTTTCACTGCAAACCTTTTTGCTTAAAATTCTTTGTGCTATGCTATTTTTAAAAAAATATTTGCTAAGAATGACTCCTGCTATTTTACTATGTTTATTATTTTTACTGCCAACATTATTTTTTAAAAATCATAACACTTTTTTTAAAAAAAATTAAAGATATTTGTTTAAATTGGTAAAATAAATGAACAACCATCAGAATAACAAAAGAAGTGTCTTGGGCTCTGCAAAACCTCATTCTAGGCCAGGTGGTATCATTCATGGATATATATCTCCTGGGAAAATTCCAGGGGACTCAGGAAGTAGTACCTCTAATTAGGAACATGCCAGTGCTTTATATAACCATATCCCTAAGTTACCATATCTTTAGTTATTATGGAAGCTTGGCATCCTCTTCTTATCAACCATACAATCATCCCTCTGTGACAACCACACAGACCTAAGATCTCCTAAGAACTGTCACCAACAACAGACTCTACATTCCTAAAAGATGATTTGGCTGACACATTCCCTAACTTGGCATCTTCCATTAACCACATCGCATCTCACTGTAGTGACCTCACTGCTTTCAGAGGCAGCCATTCAAACAGCCTAAGCACAAGAGTGAGAAGATCGTATTTGTGTGTTGAAATAATTTTATTAGCACTGTGGAAGATGAATGGAGTTGGGGTGAAGCTAAGAACAGAGAGGCTCGTTAGGAGGTTACACTGAAGTTGAAGGCCTGTGCTCTAACAGTTACACTGGAGATAAATTAGAGATGCATTTAGGAAATGGCACAGGCAGGATTTGATGATTTGACAAACCTGACGTGTAGACTGAAGGAACAGGAAGAGTCTGGAGTGACACAGAGGTTCCCAGCTCAGCAGCATGGGTAGATGGCACTGCTAACTGATTAAGACAGCAATGAAGAAAGAATATCAGAATTCAAAGGGGCTTTAAAGTAAACTATTTTAGAACATATAATTAACTGATTCATTACTACAACAAATATGTGATGACACTATATCTGGGGCATCTTATTAGTTGCAAAGTTTAGTAAGATGAACAAGAAAGATGCAGTCTCTGTCCTCATGAAGCTTCAAGTCTGCCGTGAAAATGAAGGGACCTCTGCTGCTTGGAGCACACTGGGTTAGATTCTCTGAGGAGTCTGGTTACTACAATATGACTAGATTCTGGATAAAATATGCTTCTCACATACTGCTGGGCTTGCAGGAAGAATAAGAAAATTCCAAGGTACCCTCTCCCCTAACCACCCCTTAGCTCTCCAAGAGTCACGAGATTAAAAAATGAGGTGAAGCCACGGTAGGGAGTAGGGAGCAATAAGCAAATCCAAATGGCAGAGTTGCCCTGAGAATAAATACTGATATCAGCTTAGGGACCTGGAGACTAAATCAAAGTTCAGTGACAAGATGAAGGAGTGAGCCTGAAACTCAAAATCCTCAGAATCATGTAAGAAGACTTAGAAGTTCCAGGTCAGCACTATTCCCTGCAAAAGAAAATACATATCCCCAAAAGAAAATATCCCTAGTATAGCACCCAGAATCTGAGCTCAATTAAATACGAGTTCAAAAATAAAGATCGCTGAACTTACAAGGAACCAATCTACCTTAAGAGTAATCAAAAACAACTAACTCAGCAGCTTTAGAACATTAGATACTGGAATTACTATATTTCACTAATTGGAATTTTTTTTTTTTTTTCTGAACATGGGATACATCTTAACACTTAGCACTGTGTCATAATTTAACCGGTGATGTGTTTTGTTTCTTAGTAGAAATAAAAATAGTGGTCCACCTTATAATTAATGGCATATTAAATTCTAGATGCTAAAATACAGTTTTCTGATATGAAATTTAAAAAGCTATGTAAATCAATGAAGAAATAAAAATACACACAAAATAAGATGATCAAAATCATTCTAACTTTTCTGAATGTTTGAGGATTTTCATCATAAAATGTAAAACCAATAAATTACCAAAAATATATGAAAAAGCCTTCTATAAAAGTAAACAACAAAAAACTCAATTACTGAACATGGCTGGATAGAAAATGAACTAAGAGCTAAATTAGAAAAACAATCACACAGAATGCAGTAAAGGAACAAAGATAATAGAAAAAAGAAAACAGGTTAAGAGATATGGAAAAAAATGAGAGTTTAAAGCACACTTAATTGGAAAATCTGAAAAAGAGAATAGAAAGAAGAGAGGATAGGCAACATTTGAAGAGATAATAGCTGAGAATTTTTCTGAATTGATTAAAGACATTAATCCAGGGATAACAGGAACATGCACATACCAAGCAAAATAAATAAAAGAAATTCACACCAAGGCATATCATAAAGAAAACTACAGAATAACAAAAGTCAAGAGAAGATCTTAAAAGCACCTAGAGAGATAAGACAGAACATCTATGAAGGAATTACAATGGTTCTGTGCCATTCAAGGTACGGTATACATCATTCATCTAATCCCATAACAATCCTATAAGGTACATGGCATGAACCCCATTTTTATAGACAGGGAACCTGAGGCAGAAGGAGGTGAAATATTTGCCTAAAGTAAAAAAACAAAAACAAATAAACTAGTAAATGGTGAGAGATAATAAATATCAATCTAGAAATGTACATCTAACAAAACTCTCACCTAAACTAAGGCCTAAACTTAAGAGCTAACACTATAAAACTTTTAGAACATTCGGGAAATCTTCCTGACACTGAATTTGTCTATAATTTCATGAATATGACACCAAAAGCACTGGAAACAAGAGAAAATAATAGACAAATAGGACTATTTCAAAATTAAGAACCGTTGTGCATCAAAGGACACCGTCAAGCAAGTGAAAAAGCAACCTACAGAATAGGAGAAAATAATTGCAAACTATTTCTGGAGGTTTTTAGATACTTGCTAACCAAAGATTTGTGGATGCTTGCTAGCCATTTGAAAGATACACACACTCTTGAAATAAAATGTCATTTATCAGCTAAGACTTAAAATGAGATTAGCGATATTCTCACTAACCTACCTCTACCATGTCACCAAAACAATCAGGGAATTGTTTCCTTGATTATTGTCTCTCTCCCTCCCACTGAGACCACAAGGAGTAAGAGAAAAGAGGCTTTTGTCTGTCTCACTTCCTCTAATATAACTAGTACTTAGGAGTATGCCTAGAACATAATAGGTGTTTAGTAAATATTTGTTAACTGAATAAATGATATTACTTAAAGTCATACTTCACTTTGTATATTACACAGAATGAGGGTAAACATCCCAACAAAAGATATAGGTCATGTACTATTAACATTTAAAGAATTAGACTGGGCGTGGTGGCTCACACCTATAATCCCAGCACTTTGAGAGGCCGAGGCAGGTGGATCACCTGAGGTCAGGAGTTCAAGACCAGCCTGACCAACATGGAGAAACCCCATCTCTACTAAAAAAAAAAAAAAAAAAAAATTAGCCGGGCATGGTGGCACATGCCTGTAATCCCAGCTACTCAGGAGGCTGAGGCAGGAGAATCGCTTGAACCCAGGAGGCGGAGGTTGCAGTGAGCCAAGATCACACCATTGCCCCCCACCAGCCCCAACAAGAGCGAAACTCCGTCTCAAAAAAAAAAAAAAAAAAGAAAGAAAGAAAAGAAAAAGAATTAATGTTTTTACAGTTAAAGGAATTATAAGAGATAATAAGTCAGGCATGAAATGTTTGCCTTCAAACATGCAAACTATATTTCATTCAGATGTTTCTTCCTCTTACGTGAAACGAAAACCAAATTAACCTTCATTAAAGAAAGATTTTTGACATAAAATAATTAAATCACCTGTCCTGCCAATTCCAGTCGCTTGTTTCCATAATAATCTCTGTCATCAACTTTATTATCTCCTTGGGCCAGAATTACTCTTCGCACCATCACTGCAGTATAGATACATTTGGCTCGGAAATTGAATTCCTTAACCTGTAAGACAGAAATTGGAGAAAAAATTTGAGAAAATGGACACTAAAATTTAATGTACCTCATGAAAAGTATCAATATAACAACATTTAAGAAAATACTGAATTGTTATGATTCTCTCCATTCAAATAAATTCAAGTAGTCTGAAACTTCCTGAGTTGAGATGACTTTTCATCGTTGTCCTCAGTACCTGTGAGTACCTTTGTGTCAAAGATGACTACTATCAACTCCTTCCCTTCCTATAAACTTTATGCCATTTCTTCATTAAAAGTGGGATCTGTCACTCCCTTGGGATTGGCCTATAATTAGTTTAACCAAGAGAATACAGCAGAAATAATACCAGGCCAATTCCAGAATTAACCTTTAAGTCAACTGGCTTAAGTTTCCTTTTCCTTTCTCTTAGAGTCCTGAGACACTACATGAGAAGTCCAAAATACTCTGTTGTGCAGAGACAGAGGCTACATTTCATTTAGTAAAATCCCAATGAAATGGAAAACCAAGAAGGGGTCAGAGATATGAGTGAAGATGCCATGTGGAATGTCTAGCCCAGGTGACCTTCCAGATGACTCTAACCTCAGCTGCTATCTGTCTGCAACTTCGTAAGAGACCTGAAATAAGAACTCCCTCCTCCACCTTAAGTTAAGCCCAGTCAAACCACAGAATCACGAGATATACAATAAACAGTTACATTAAGCCATTAAGTTTTAGAATGTTTATTATGCAGTGATAAGAACTGTACTACGATATTGTCTGGTATGCAACAAATACCTGCTGAATGAACGAACAGAGGAATGAATTTGTAGCAAATGTTCTAGTCAATCTTCTCTAGCAGAAACACTGAAACCCATATGAATGAATGGCTCAATCAGTAAGTTGACTCAGAACTGATAAAATAATTGCACTGGTTTGTTTGGAGAGGCAAAAAAACTGAAGTAGATCCTTTCACTACATCTAAAAAGGCAAATTTTGAGACTGTAGCCTGAGCTTCTGCCAATTCCAAGGAGTATTTATAGGCTTTTCCACAGATAATACACACTATTATAAAATTTCCTTTTTACTTACCTTAATCATTTAGTAAAATCCCAATGAAATCTCTTTTATTAAGTTTATCACTATGACAATAAATCAATAGATTGCATTAAAAAAAAAAAACAAGCATTCTCCTTCATACATTTTGTTGTTGCTGCTAAGTAATTCCACTAAATAATGTAGGATGTTAGAATTCTGTATGTGTTTCAAAAACTCCATTTTCCTTCAAAGGAAGTTTTATTTCTTCTCTAGGTCAATTTACTCTCTTTCTATTACTGAGAACTTTGGAATATGTTAAAAGAAATGTGTTTGAATGTGGTAAAAGAAAAAGTGGACCTAAAAGCTACTTTGTTATCTTGTACCCACAAAACAATTACATCAATAAGAAGGTATTTAAAAAGTCTCTTGGCCATCCTCCAAAAAAAAAAACCTCTACAATCATAACACCAGTTACCACAATACCAAGCAGAAAAACTCAGTGTCTGGGCAGCTATAAGTAATTTACATTTTCAATTGCTATTTCGAAAGCTGTGTGGTCCTCCATTTAAGCACATCTAATTTACATTTTATTGTTCTAATCTTAATGTGGTAAGTTACATGGAACATCTAACTCTTCTAGTTGTAGTTATTTTTCTTGCTAATGAGAAAAATAAAGCAAACTTTCATTAACAAAATTTTCAATTTTCAACAAAACCCATTTCATATTTTCCTTTTGCATAAACACTGGCAGATTCTCCCAAGACATTTATAAGTAGAAATAAATATGGATATTTGTGGAAAATGCCCCTACTGAACTGTATAACGCCGCTTCTTGATTAGAGGTGCAGTCCATCACCCCCTTGGGACTGAACCCTAACTCACTTCACTCCCCTTTTTAATGACTATATGCTAGAAAGCAAAACTCTAAGTCTAAATTGAAATGGGTTAATACTTAGCACTGTTCCCACAGTCATATGGTGAGTGGGGATCCTCTCAATCCAGCAGCTGGTAACACTTTCTGGGAGAATGCTAAGAGTAGTTCAGATACTCCTTTGTGGGATACTAACCTGCGGATTATCTGAAAGAGGGGGAGAAAAGAGGACTAACAAATGAACTCGGAATGATGAAACAGAATTGTTGCCTGTTTCAGAACTCTGGAGACCTTTTAATACTACATTAGAGGAAAGAGTGGTCTGGAACTTAGGCATCTTGAAGCCTAATCACCCTTAGAGCAGTGGTTTCTAAACTTCAGCATGCATAATCATCTGGAGGGCTTGTTAAGACACAGATTACTGGGACCCACTCTTAGGGTTTCTGATTCAGCAGGTCTAGGGTAGAGTTTAAGTATTTCTCACAAGTCCCCTGTGATGCCGATGCTACTAGTCCACAGAATGCTCTTTGGGAACCACAGACCCCAAGGAACTGAAAGGCCAGGATACCAAGACAAAGGCCTCTGGAGGCCCGCCCCCAAGGATAAGCACTGAGAACTACTGAGTATCTGCCCATGCTTTTCCCTCTACACAGACACACCTAAATAATACTTTCCAAATGCTAGTCATTCAAGTTCCACCATCACAAATATCTCTGTTATACATATTTATGTAACATGTTTAATCATCTTTAAACAACCAATTTTAAGCTAAGCTTCATCCTATGCAATAATACCATAAAATCACATATACCACACCAATGAATTTGATGCTAGTTGTATTCTTTCTAGTAAGTACATAATTACTTACATAAAAAAATGACCCTGTATCACGAAAATCATCCTTTATATCACACTTAGGTAAATACTGTCCAAAACAATTCTGGAAAATGAAGATCTTTTCCCCGATCCATCTATTCTGACTTTATTCCTCCCTGGATTATGTATAACCAAGCTTTTAAAATGGTAATTTAGATTCCATGCAACCACAGAAAAGTATAAATTTTGTTTTTTTTTTTTTTAGTTGGAGTTTCACTCTTGTTGCCCAGGCTGGAGTGCAATGGCATGATCTTGGCTCATCGCAACCTACGCCTCCCAGGTTCAAGTGATTCTCCTACCTCAGTCTCCGGAGTAGCTGGGATTACAGGCATGCACCACCATGCCTGGTTAATTTTGTGTTTTCAGTAGAGATGGGGTTTCTCAATATTGGTCAGGCTGGTCTTGAACTCCTGACCTCAGGTGATCAGACTGCCTCGGCCTCCCAAAGTGCTGGGATTACAGGTGTGAGCCACTGCGCCCGGCGTGTCTTTATCAGTCTAAATAAACAAGCGTTACTATCGGCAGGACTCTATCAACTAAAGCTCTTTAATTAACCCAACATTCTTCTCAGTTATAGTATGAAGGTAAGCGTAGCTCCTAATAGCTACATGGGGAGTTGTGGAAAATACAGAGCTTTACGTATATTATATCTCTGAATCATCATAAGAACCCTGCGAGAAAGTGGGAATTACTTTTATTATACAGATGAGAAAACTGAAGCTTAGAAAAGTTCAGATTTGCCCAAAGTTCATCAGTTAGGATGTGAGAAACCAGGATTTGAACAATTACGTCTCAGACTCCAAAAGCCCTTGTTGTTTCTACTATTCACTTTCGCTATTTTAAGTTTCAGACTCTTTCCAATCATCCAAAAGAGCTTAAAATTCAGTTCAGACCTAGCTTTAACATTCAAAATTTTCTAATTCTTTAGATTAAATTAACGACATGCACAAATGGTAGCCAAGGGGCAGAATGAGAAACCTGTATTATTTGGATTGAAGGGTGTTTTAATACAGGAAAATCGGATCTGGATGCATTCAGGTGGTTACTCTCGACTTCCACAGATCCCTTGACCTTCCATTATTTTACAGTCAGCCCCTGAAGGTCATGTTTGCAACCCTTGAATAAGATTATTCATGGATGGAACACATGGTAACTCATTACAAACCAGACTATTTAGTTAACAAGATAGTCTAACAAATAATAATTCTATAACTTAGTAAAACATACACATTAAACGGGAAGAAAATTGAGGGCTGCCTCTTGCCAACACCTCACATGCCGATATGGTTGATCTCTGTTTGATAAGTTAATAAAAAGTAAATACTACATACTAGTCCAAGGTCAGAAGATAGGTTCTAGCCCTTACTCTTACCGCTAACCAGCTGGGTGACAACGCAAATCATCTAGCATGTTTGGATCAAAGAATCTTCACAGTAAGTGAAGGAGGCTGGATGATGTGAACTTTAAAATTCAAGGTCTAGAAGATGAACTCACTCAGTAAGCATTTTTAAACCTATCTGCTGTGGCGATGGTTGTACAATAGTGTGAATGTACTTAACTCCAGAAAATTGTACATGTAAAAAGGTAAACTTTATGTTATACATATTTTGCCATGAAGCATATTTTACTATACAATAAGCATAAGCATATTTCACATAAGCAATTTTACCATACAATAAAAAATAGGTATGGACAAGGCACTGTAAGCTTATTTTATTTATAAAACATGTAAGACATCATCTCTGTCCTTCAAAACCATGAAATCTAGTAGCAGTAAAAATCTAGCACTAATATATGTATGAACATAAAATAACAATATTTTAAGACTGAAAGAATAACCACAAGAGAATAAACATGATGATGGCGATACAGCTAACATTCTCCGAGTATAAACAAACTGCTGATAATGGAAGGTTATTACTGGTGGGGCAGTACATTCCTCCTTAGAATTTTCTCTTGAGGAATTAGACTTTAAATGAGGTAAACTCTTATCACAGTTCTTTAACAGGAATTCACAGATCTCATAGTCTTTATTTACAGTAATAGTGTTACTCACTGGGACATGGGTCAGAATGGTGGAAGCCAGGAGCTCTCTTGCTTCTTCTATTTTGGTTTTCTTTGGTCCACCTCCCCACATCCTTTGCCTTCTTACTTTGTTCCCTATATATTTTAATGCCTATAAAAAAGATTATAATAACGTTTGAATAACATCACTGGAGGTAGCTTAGTAAGCACCTAACCACACGTACACTATAAGCAAAAGAGATCAAGACCCTGGTTATAGAGAAAGCTATACTGGGTCTAGTCCAAAATCTACATTTATCGTAAATCAATGACAAAAAGCATAGCACACTGCCTAATACACTGGTTCCCTTTTTATTTTTTGTTTTCTTACTAAAAAAAATTGATACACTGTCATTGTAGGAAATTTAGAAAATACAGACACAAGTAAAATGTGTGTGTGTGTGTGTGTGTGTGTGTAGACATACAGCAGTCATCAGTCCTTCACCCAGAGAAAACCACAGGTAAATTTTATAGTAGTACTTTTTTCATCTCAAAAATGAATCATACCATGTAAGACCTCTACACTGAAAGCTACAAAACAGTGCTGAGAGAAAACAGAACCTAAATAAATTAACGGTCATGACATGTTCGTGGACTGGATGATTCAATGGTATTAAAAGTGGCTTAGTGTTAAAATTCTCTCCAAATTGACCAATACATTCATAATTGTTAATTATACCCTTAGCAGGCTTAAAAAGCAAGAACTGACTAATTCTAAAATTCTAGATTCTAAAATTTTAGATTCTAAAATTTACATGGAAATGCAAAGGACCTGGAGTAGCTAAAACAATATTGAAAGAAAAAAATTGGAGTATTATATTACCTGATTTTAACTATATAGCTAAGTAATCTAAATAGTGTGATACTGGCACAAGGATAGACAAATCAATGAAAGAGAATAAAAAGTCCAGAAATAAACACATACTAAAAGATCAGTTGACTTTTGACGAAAGTACCACAGCAATTCAATGCGGAAGGAAAAGTCTTCTCAATAAATGTTGTTGAAACAACTATCCATAAAGTGAAAAATTAATCTTGACCCCTACCTCACAACAAACACAAAAATTAGTTTAAGATGGATTTTAGATCTAACCATAAAAACTATTAATAAAACTATAAAGCTTCAAGGAGAAAACATTGAAGAATATATTCCTAACCTTGGGGTAGGCAAGATTTCTTTAAACAGAACACAGAGAGCAATAAATGTAAAAGTGAAACAAATAAAAAAAACCCTAAGTTTTTTCAAAATTAAAAAATAGAATTAAGCAAACAAATAGAGAGGGAATGGACTGGGAGAAAATACGTAATGCTGACAAGGAAGTTAGTTACATCCGGGATTTGTTTTTAAAAGGACTCTTAAGCTCAACAACAACAAGAAAACTCACTAAGGAAAATGAACATTTGGCTTACACTTCACAGAGAAGAAAATACAAATAGCCAATAAACACATAAAGGTTCAACATCATTTGTTATCATAAAAATAAAAACTAAAACCACAATGAGATACCACTATACACCCATTAGAGCGGCTAAAATTAAAAAGACTGACAACACCAGATATTATGAGGACATGAAGCAATCAGAACTTTCTATCAGGCTGGGTGTGGTGGCTCATGCCTGTAATCAGGCAGGCAGATCACCTGAAGTAAGGAGTTCAAGACTAGCCTGGCCAACATGGTGAAACTCCATCTCTACTAAAAATACAAAAAGATTAGCCGGGCATGGTGGCGCACAACTGTAGTCCCAGCTACTTGGGAGGCTGAGGCAGGAGAATCGCTTGAACCCAGGAAGTGGAGATTGCAGTGAGCGGAGATCATGCCACTATACTCCAGCCTGGGTGACAGAGTGAGGCTCCGTCTCAAAAAAAAAAAAAAAAAAGAAAGAAAGAACTCTCATACACTGCTGGTGTAAATGCAAAATGGTACAATCATTTTGGAACAAGGTATATATAAAAGTTATATACATATCTGCTCTCTGATTCAACAATTCTATTCTTTGGTACTCATTCATGAGAAATGAAACATGTCCACATAAAGATTTGTTTATACAGTCTTATTCATAATTGCTAAAGACTGAAAAACACACCAAGTGTCTATCAATAGGAAAACAGAAAAACTGTGGTATATTCATACAATGAAATACTATGTTGAAATAAAAAGAAATGAACTACGTGGATAACTGAGATAAAAAGGAACAAAAAGAAACAACTTGGATGAATCTCAGACAATAAGCTCAGCAAAAGAAGCTAGACACGAAAGAGTATATATGGCCTAATTCCATATATATAGCTCTAAAATAGGTAAAACTAAATTATGGTGCAAAAATCACTAATTTATGATGCCTAATTCCATATATAAAGTTCTGTAATTGGCAAAACTAATCTACAGTGCAAAAATCAGAATAGTGGGGAAAAAATCAGAGAGTAGAGGTGAAGATTGACTAGAAAGGAGCATGAGGGAACTTTGTGTGATAAGGAAATATTCTGTATCTTGTAAAGTCATACAATTAAGATTTGTATATTTTAGTGTACATAAATTTACTTAAAATAACCAAGTAAGAGTGTTGACAACTTCTGAAGGTAGGCCTTGGATACATGAACATTTATAACACTATTATTTGCACTTTATATATGTTGAAATTTTTCCTAATCAACAGTGTTTAAAGAAGAAGAGTATGTGGTTCTTATTATTTTGGAACAACAATATACCTTTTTTTTTTTTTTTTGAGACAGGGTCTCACTCTGTTGCCCAGGCTGGAGTGCAATGATGTGATGCCAGCTCACTGCAGCCTCAATCTCCTGGGCTCAGGCAATCCTCCCACCTCACTCAGCCTCCAAAGTAGCAGAACTACAGGCACATGCCACCATGCCCAGCTAACTAAAACAACAACAGTAACAACAAAAAACCTTTGGTAGAGACAGGGTCTTATTATGTTGCCTAGGCTGGTCTCAAACTCCCAGCCTCAAGTGATCATCCTGCCTCGGCCTCCCAAAGTGGCAGTATAATAGGTGTGACCCACCGTGCCTGGCCAAGAATGAACTTAAAAATAAATAAATAAATAAAAAAGACTTTCAGTTTAGCAGAAGAAAAGGCTGGGATCTTTGATTCTTTATCTTGGAATTCCTGCCCAATTACCTGCTTGGGGAATTCCTTTCTCATGCTTCAAAACCTAGATCAGGTATCACTTCCTCCCCGAAGGCTTTCCTAACCCCACTCCTCTTTCTCTGCAGTTTTAATTCCTTGTGCATTCAGGATTGCATATTTTAATTCATGTTCATATCACATTATGTTTTAATGATCTATTTACATGTATGTTTTTCCTACTAGACATGGTGGGTGGGAATTCCGTCATCTTTTTCTTTGACTCCCAGTGATTAGTACAGTGTTTGGAACTGAATGAAATTCCATCCCATGATAAGATTTGGACTTCAAATCTAAATCTTTCCCATTAAAAGGCCATTAGAGTATAAGATAAATTAAAACCCTGAAAACGCTTGCTGCAGTGACCTAGTAGTAAGTAGTAACTAAGTAAATGAAGAAAGCAGGTCAGTTGGCAGGAACCGTGAGTAGACAGGCAGTTCAGTTTTCTCCAAACTAATAAATATTGTCTTCAATAAATATTGACCTTCTAGTTTCCTTGTGAAAAAGGCTACAATTTTTCACTTGTTTGAGGAGGAAATAGAGGAACACAGGTGAGGAGGGTATCCCTTGTGATGCATAGGCCAAGATGACGCGCCTAGTGCCTCTTATCCCCCACTACAGCTAATACTTTCTTCTCTATATATTGGAGCCCAAGACAGCGATGGTGTAAAACATACATGACCGACACAGAAAGAAGGCTTCAGGAACAGAAGAAATGTGAGAGACACTACAAAGGGAGGCGTAAAAAACAGAGTCTCGCTCTGTCACCCAGGCTGGAATGTAGTGGCACAATCTTGGCTCACTGCAACCTCTGACCCCTGGGTTCAAGCAATTCTCCTGACTCAGCCTCCCGAGTAGCTGGCATTACAGGCACCCACCACCATGCCCAGCTAATTTTTGTATTTTTAGTAGAGGCGGGCTTTCACCATATTGGCCAGGCTGGGTCTTGAACTCCTGACCTCAAATGATTCACCCACCTCGGCCTACCAAAGTGCTGGGATTACAGGCATAAGCCACCGTGCCTGGCCAAAAAAACAAAACCCCACAGGTTTTAAGCAATTCATTAAAGTGCCACATCTTCCAAAGTTCTATTAAACAAAACAAAGTGTGATATGGTTTGGATCTGTGTCCCCACCAAATCTCATGTCAAATTGTAGTGCCCAACGTTGGAGGTGGGGCCTGGTGGGTGGTGGCTGGATCATGGGGATGGATTTCTCACGACTGGTTTAGCACCATCCCCTTGGTGCTGTCCTCCTGATAGTGAGTTTTCCCAATCTGGTTGTTTAAAAGTGTGTGGCACCCCCTCCTCTCTCAAGCTCTCTTGCTCTCATTCCCACCATATGAGACGCCTTGCCCCTTCCTTTGCCTTCTCCCATGACTGGAAGCTTCTTGAGGCCTCCCCAGAAGCAGAGGCCACTATGGTTCCTGTACAGGCTGTAAAACCATGAGCCAATTAAACTTCTTTTCTTTATAAATTACCCAGTCTCAGGTATTTCTTTTTTTGAGGCAACGTCTCACTCTGTCGCACAGGCTGGGGTGGCACAATCATGGCTCACTGCTGCCTTGACCTCTCAGGCTCAAGTGATCCTCCTGCCTCAGTCTCCCAAGTAGCTGGGACCACCGGTGCATGCCACCACGCCTGGCTGATTTATTTTTATTGATTGTAGAGATGGGGTCTTACCATGTTGTCCAGGCTGATCAGGTGTTTCTTTATAGCAATGTGAGAACAGACTAATACAAAGTGTACTTCCTACATTTTCATTTAGAATAGCACAGAATATTCATGTTTTTGTAACTGGTAATATATGTTCTACATACCAACTATTTTAGATTGCTTGCATCTCTATATCCTTTTATCAGTTTTAATAGCTAATATGTGCAGCATACAGAGTACAAGCACTTTCAAAGTTATACTTCCCTTTCGAGGAAAAGGAACATTTGTCTTTTTATGTTAACTTCCCTCCATCTTTTCCTGACATCTTTTCACTAATCTGATCTGATTTAGTTAGCTGAAATTTTCCGTCAGAACCTATTTAACAGAAATAAATGAATGATTTTCCAACTACTGTTTGGGCTCTGCTCAGCTTTACAATGCTAGGGTTATTTAACCCCAATTACGATGTTTGAAATAAAACGCATAATGGATTTCATTGAAGCCACTGGGAAACCATTAAGGTAAACTGCTCTTGTAGGGCACTACACAGCATTAAAAAATAGGGTATCTCCCAAAATGGAACCAAATATTCCTGTTTGCAGGGTAGATTCTACATTTTCTGCCTCCTGGATATTTCTTAAGGTTTTCTCTTCATGTTCTTGGAACCCTTGGACAATATAACTTCAGTGTATAACAAAGATTCATGCCTACCAAATATTTCATTTTTGATAAAGGCCAAAAATAGAATCTCCTAAATCCAAACCACTCTTCCTGGTGCTGCCTGCCCTGTAACTGCAGTCAACTACTAATTAACTGTAGGAAAAGAGGAAGGCAGTGATGAGAATAATCCTTACTGATTTGTACTTTGGAATTATATATTTACTGTCCTATTTCAATCTTTCTAAATATCTAGTGTAGTCTACAAAAATATCAATACTGATTTGATTTCAGAATACACACTAACAGATAGAAGTGGGAAATGCTTTCTCTACAAACATCCTGGGTGAAGAGAAAAAAAGCAGGCTGGAGTTTACGTATGTCATACTTAACCCACAGAAGAGACAATGTACATGTGGATAGGTAAGAACTGTTTATTGTGATTCTACAGTAGGGAATTCCCACCTCCCAGGATGGCTATGAGGGATGTTACCTTTGATTTATACTTAGGAAAGCACTGGCAAATATGGGACTAAAATCCTAAGTATGGCTGCTGGGGCTCCCTCCATGTGGGAAGGGAAGTGCAATTATTTTTATTATGGGGTGTGTGTGTGTGTGCGTGTGTGCACGTGTATTTCTCAATCTTCCTCTTTGAGTCTTGTCCTAAAATTCCCAGGGTCCAACCAGGAGTGCCTGAGCAGGTCAATGAAGGCTCTGTAGCAATAAAAAGGACTGATTCCGGGTTTTCCTTGCTGTTCAAAGTAGCACTGGGAATTCAGGAAAAGAAATAGAAACCACACATAACTGAATGCCTAAAGCAACTGAAGTAGGGAATAAAAAAAGATATGAAAGAGAAATGTATGCACACACACACACCCTGTACACGAGAGTTGCCATAGTTTAAAAAAATATATTATCACTCAGGCAAATAAGGAAAAATAAACAGTACTTGCTATTACATCAAAATAAACACCTCTTGGCCATATATCCCTATTCTAAGTTAGGCACCATAGGCTCCTAATTTGTCTGAGGAAACTCCTCCTCCAATCCTGACAAAAGTCAGTTAAAGAAACTTCACTTTTCCCATCTCCCCAATACCTTTCCCACATCCATGAGCCCAAAGCCATCACATCCGATGAGCTTTATCAATGAGCGGCATTAAGTCTCCAATTCCATTTCATGGCAAAGGACGACATGAAAAGACACACCTGCATCTGTGTGAAAATCTGAGCTTTCTGGCACTCTTCCAGACTGGGCCCAAATGCAGCCATCACGTGCTCCTCTGTTCCAATCATCTGCACAATTTCCTGGTCACTCTCAACACCCATGGCCTAGGAAGGAAAGAAAAGATAGAAAGAGTGTTGGCTTTGTGTTAACTCACTGACATTTGCTTATGCTAATTTGGCATTGTTTGTGGGTATTACTTCTAAGCAAAAGCTAGCTCTTCTCTCAGAAACGGTGCCATCTGGCATTGGCAGCCTTGCCCAAGCTGCAGAAAAACCTGAAACAGATATTTTGATTACAAAGTGGAAAACAAACATTCGCAAACATTTTTTGCATGCGTACTATCTGCTAAAATTTTTAAATATTCTAAGAGTTTCATCACAAAAAAAGGAGGCTGGGAGGTACGGTAAAGACAACTGGTCATGACTACAAAGGCAAACTGTAAAGACCAACAGCCAAAAGGCAGTGAATCAGAAAAGATGCATTGCTGAAAATAAGCAGAACCCCAAAATCAGTCTTGTCACAAAATCAATTTTTCTGAGCACTGTCAAATCACTCAGATTTAGGCTAAAAGAATTTTTCCTAAAACATGTTTTACCTCACTATCTTAGAGATATCGAACCAAACTTCATGTAGGTTTCAAAGGAGACTGTTAAAAAGTCGGAACACACGGGCCGGGCACGGTGGCTCACGCCTGTTATCCTAGCACTTTGGGAGGCCGAGGCAGGTGGATCACCTGAGGTCAGGAGTTCAAGACCAGCCTGGCCAATGTGGCGAAACCTCATCTCTACTAAAAACACAAAAATTAGCCAGACGTGTTGGCATGTGCCTGTAATCCCAGCTACTTGGGACGCTGAGGCAGGAGAATCGCTTGAATCTGGGCGGTGGAGGTTGCAGCTGAAATTGCGCCACTGTACCCTAGCCTGGGCAACAAGAACAAAACTCTGTCTCAAAAAAAAAAAAAAGTAGGAACACACTTAAGAGGTTTCAGAAACCCACTTAAGTGTTTCAAGGTGGCAGCAGCAACGTAGGTCTTTGTAGATTCCATATGGTACTAGGGCTCACTCCTTCACACATTTGCCTGGAATTTTGCCATATCAAGGAACACAGCATAATCTCACTAAATCTCTCTTGGAAGAGTAATAGTCTGCTTCTTAGAAGTGAGGGGAAAAGTTATGTTTGTATTAAAATTCTTCCTTCAGCTGTAGAGAAGACAAAACCAGAGGATAATTGTCTAGTTAGTGTTGATGCCCTAGTTCTCAGTTCTCCACACAAAAGAGAAAGGAAGGGAAAATCAAACCCCAAGTTCCAGTGCAGAACATCCAGGACATTATCCTGAGGACAACACAGGCATCTATCTAAAAGTCCAGAGATCTGAGGTGTTCGTCCTAATATAATACCAACAACAGACACAGACATTACAACTACCACTGTCATGCAACCTCTTCGCCTCTGTTTTCTCATTTGCATAAATGAAAAACCAGATCCCTTCCAGCTCAAAATTCTGTGATTCTACATTTGACCTTCAGTGGTCTGCATTCTATAAATTTGATTTGGATACTTTAGGATCCGATGTAAACTTCTAGAAAGTTTTGAAGATTTGGTGGGAATCTGAATAGATCCCATGTCCCTTTTAGGCCAACTGCAGTGGTTTTAAAAACCTTCATAGATTCTTTGACACTCCCTTCAAAAGGTGGAGACTAATTCCCCACACCAAGTGTAGGCTAAGCTCAATGCCTCACCTCTGTAGAAAAAATGTGAAGGTGGCACGTATGATGACTTTGAAGGACTGGTCACAAAAGGCACTACAGCTGCCTGCTTGCTCTGAGAGTGCTCTCTCTGGGGGAAGATTGCTACCATGTCACAGAAACACACAAGCAGTCTGCGGCAAGGTCCAGTGATGAGGAACTATGTCCTCTTACCAACAGCCAATGAGGACCTGCAGTTTTCTGTCAACTGTCCTCGGGGTGAGTCATCCTGGAAGTAGATCCTCCAGCCCACTTCAGTTCGGCCTTCAGATAACTGCAGCCCTGGCTGATATCTTTTCTTTTTTCCTCTTTGGAGAAGGGGTCTTGCTTAGTTGTCCTGGCTGAAGTAGGTGGGTATTCACAGGTGCAATCACAGTGCTCTACAGCCTCAGGCTCCTGGGCTTAAGTGAACCTCCCGCCTCAGCCTCCTGAGTAACTGGGACTACAGGCACATGCCACTACGCTTGGCTTGTGACTGATATCCTGGCTCATGAAAGACCCTGAGCCAGAACCACCCAGCCAAGCAAGTCTTAAATTCCCAACTAACAGAAGCTGTGCTATAATTTGTTACATAGCGCAGATAACTAATACACCAACTTCTGGAATTAGATTCACTATCTGAATTTAAAACAATTTGTTTAAATGCACAACTTGTTTTGTTCCTTTTTTTTTTTTTTGGCAAACAAGTTCTCAGGACGCAAACCCTTTTCCTATAGTTTTTGCAGTCTTTTTTTTTTAAACCTCCAATTTGATATGGATACATTTATTCAAATGGATACTAGAAATAAGCTCCACTATTTAAAAATTTTACACAATTTCATTAAAACACTTAGCCTTTCATGGATTAAAAGATAGCAATCCTAAAAAAAATTATCGGTTCTAACTTTTAAACAAACAAACAAAACTAGATTATTCTTAGCTCAAGCACACCGACTTGTATCTACTTTGATGGTGATGGCATATATGTAAAACCATCTACACTTTCTCTTTGGTATGCAAGTAGCCAGTCACAAATATTAGAATAGAATTCCTTTCTTCGGTGTTTAAATAACACAGGTTAAGTTTCCCTAATCTGAAAATCCAAAATGCTCCAAAATCTGAAACTTAAAAAAAAAATTAGGGGGAGAGAGTTTTTTTGGTTGGTTGTTTTTGTTTGCTTTTTTTGGAGACAGAGTCTTACTCTGTCGCCCACGCTGGAGTACAGCAGTGCAATCTCAACTTAGTGCAACCTCTGTCTCTCAGATTCAAGTGATTCTCTTGTCTCGGCCTCCCAAGTAGCTGGGACTACAGGCGTCTGCTACCACACCCAGCTAATTTTTGTATTTTTTTAGTACAGATGGGGTTTCGCCATGTTGGCCAGGCTGGTCTCAAATTCCTGGCTGCAAGTGATCCACCTGCCTCAGTCTCCCAAAGTGCTGGGATTACAGGTATAAGCCACCACGCCTGGCCAAAGCCACCACACCTGGCCAACTTTTTTAAAAGACAGGGTCTCACTGTGTTGCCCAGGCTGGGATGCAGAGGCCATTCACAGTCACAACTGCAGTGCACACTATAGCCTCAAACTCTTGGGCTCAAGCAATCTTCCTACCTTACCCTCTAAAGTAGCGGGCACTACAGGCACAGGCCACCATGATCAGCTTTCAAAATCTGAAACTTTCTGAGTATAGACATGACGCTCAGAGGAAATACTCATTAGAGTATTTCAGATTTTGGATTTCTGGATTTGAGATGCTCAACCATAAGGATAAGGACAATGCCAACATTTCAAAATTTTAAAAAACCCTGAAATCCTAAATACTGCTGGTCCCAAGCATTTCAGATAAGGGATGCTCAACCTGTAATGAAAAGGTCTTTCCTCATTTGACGTATGGATTGCCACTTCAAGTTGTCCTGGTGCTGAACCTAAGTGGTAATTTTACAACTGCATAAAATTCTCAAATGTCCTAACAGGGATCTAAACAGACTGCTTAGGCCTTCCAAATATTTCTAAGCTATGAAACGAAGATATGCCAAGCACATGGTAAATGACACCATATGTGCAGAAAGCATGATTACTGCCAAAGCTTTGCTCTAAAAGGACTAAACTCTTCCTATATCAAGTCACTAAATACAGGGGCGATAACTCAGTCAAGTTATCATCAAAGCACACCAGCTGCAAAGACTGAACTGACTTTATGACTATTTAGCCTTCAGTAGTCACAGCCACAAATAAATGACATATTGCTATGGAAACGACAGCAAAATGCTGAACCATTTTACTTTAAAGACATAATTTAGACATCTGAAAACTGGCTTTATATGGACCTCTTTGTACTCCAGATATCTGAAATCATTTTTCCTAATAAGTCAAAAGTAAATCCTACATAATAACCTTATGAAAAAATAGCAGAGATAATACATTTCAGCAGGTTCCCTACACTCCAGAAATCAGCAATACCACTAAATGAAAATAATGGGAGGTGCACTATAAAAAGTGGCATGAGGTCTTTTTAGATATCTACAAAGTGTGACTTTTAAAGACAAAAACAAAGAATACTAATGAGCAGAAGAGACTGATACACACACTAATGGTAACAGGTTGAAATATACTGTGTGAAGGCGGGAAAGGAAAATAACTTCTTAAAATATCTACTATTCAGAAATCTCTAATGTTTCTTTAAAGTAGACCAAAATCAATCTATTATTGCTCACAGTAGTCCCAGCAGGTAATAAGAGAACTGTGATGGCCCTCTCTAACTTTGTGACTGTTTCTCTTTAAAGAAGAAAAATTTTGGCCAGGAACGTTGGCTCATGCCTGTAATCCCAGCACTTTGGGAGGCTAAGGTGGGCGGATCACGAGGTCAGGAGATCAAGAATATCCTGGTCAACATGGAGAAACCTCGTCTCTACTAAAAATACAAAAATTAGCTGGGCGTGGTGGTGCGTGCCTGTAATCCCAGCTACTTGGGAGGCTGAGGCAGGAGAATCGCTTGAACTAGGGAGTCGGAGGTTGCAGTGAGCCGAGATTGTGCCACTGCACTCCAGCCTGGTGACAGAGTGAGACTCCATCTCAAAAAAAAAAAAAGATAAATTTCCATATAAGTTAGTTTCCAGGAAACACTGCCCAGCACCCTTGAAACCTGATCACCTTTTCTGCAAAATCTTTCAAACTACAGATGCCATCATAAGAGCAGGCTACATAGTTGCGAATACAAGATGTAAAGTGGGGAAGATTCATGGGCAGGAGAACCTTTGTAGTGATTCAAGTCCATAAATAAGGCTGATCTATGTCTTAAAAGCTTTCTCCATCATATTCAGACTCAGCATGGAATCTGGAAACCCTGCTGCTCCTGTCACTTTCAGCCAATTGTTGGTTACAA